GCTTATTATCGTAATCTACAATTCTCATTGCTAACTTTAGACAACTAGCATGTATTCTGAAATCTAAAGTTTAGATGATAATGCAAAAGGTGCTATATTTCACTAGCCTGAGCTAATCTCATAATTAGTGACTGATAATTTTTGATATTAATATATAATGTGCTAGACTATTTAGATTTTCAGATCTTTCATGCTGATATAGGCACATTGGTTTCTTCCTTTTAAGAAAGCAGCCATAAAATGACAGATTTGCAATTGTCTTCATTCTTTAGGATTGCATACTGACCCATTAAAATAGTTAAGCACACATTTTATGGGATGATATACTGCTCACACTTTATCACTGTAATAACTATTTGGCTACAAGTATGTTCTGATGTTTGTATTTTTATTTTATCATAGAGAAAATGTCTGGCATATGCACCAGTAGATTACTGTCAGTCTTGAACATTTTAATCTCATGAATGAATCTAACATTTCTCCATATTTTTGCTATAAATGCCAGTAAGTATGTTGAGATGAACAGCTTCTTAGATGTGTTGGTGAAATAACCCTAAGTCTATATTCTGCTTTTCCCCCTCCTCTCAGATTTATTAAGATAGAGTTAAATGTACAGATATCGGTGACAGAATACAACAGTTTCTTTGTATGAGACTTACTGAACTACTCCTTTCATCAAATTTGGCACACTATTTTCTCACCAAAAAATACCAAATGTGAAGCCTTATAAATGGCAACAAACATATCAGAAAATATCATTATAATGAATTAAACACATTTTTGCTAACAAACATTATTTCTGGCAAACAATTCAGAAATAATAGTCAACCATTTAAACAGATAAGATTCTGGCCCACAGTCAAGAAAGGTAATTTTTTTTAAATAACTCAACATAGCTGCTTTTACAGACAAAGAGTCTTTCCCGTTGCTTTGGCACAAAATTTGGGAAAAGGGCCAAGGTGCTACTTATCAGCCCTCTGACATCAGGGGAGGGCTGTGTGCGTCAGCTGGCTCAGTAGGGACCCTCTGCTATGGCAAAGGACCATGTGCTTCTTATCTTATCAGTTTACAGTGTCTGGCACTTCAACCATTACTGTGTGAACCTTAGAGGAAGGAAGGTGTGTGTAATTGTGAGGGTGTAGGTTAAAGTTATGAGCTAAGCAGGTTTTAGCAATTTATTAACAAAACAAACTGTCAAACCTAGTATATTAATTATAATAAAAGTCTCTGCCTTCAAACCCAACCTTAGAGAAAGTGAGGTTTTTTTTTTCTTTTAAGGGTGTTCTAGCTACATATGACAACCACTTCTCCTCCTGTTTATGCAAATAAATGTCAAATTATAGTTCCAGAACAGTGATTCCATTACATTCGATTTAGAAGAGTGAAAGAAAAAGCAATTTGTTAGAAAATGTGCATGCAATTCTTATATTAGCTCCACCACACAAGGTGCTTGGGAGTTGAGAACAAGATTAAAACTGCTTTCAAATGTTGGCCAATTGTCACACCTCTAGACACAAGGATGCAGGGAGAGTCACATTCAGTCGGGTAGAGCTCAGTCACACCACTCAAACCAGGAATGAGGGATTCAAAGAAAGTTTCCTAAAAAGGGAAACTGAGGACAACTACCTCACCTCAAAATTAATTTTAAAAAGCTATTCTTGACTTAAAAAATCATTTAAAACAAATTTTAAATATTTAGAGAAATATTACACTTGCTATGTGAAAAGTAATTTTGTTAATGTAATAAACATATTTTGAATAACAAAAATGAAAGATTTTTACTTACTAATCTCAACTTAGACTGTATATTAAGTAGATCTCTATTAAAAATGATAGTGTATCTATATCATGATTTACAACTATCTCAAAGTATTATACTTCATAAATTACATTGTCTTCCTGGTTATAAAGCTAATACAACTATGCATTTCTGATATTACAGTAAGACCACTGTTTATTATTCCTTCAAGCTTACCTGTTGAATTAGAATAAGTACAATTAATTTGCACCCAGATACTCTTCTATGGGTTAGAGGTGATGCTGTTACAAATAGAAAACTGTTCTCTCTCTCTCGAGACAAAATTCCCCTCTCTGACCACACCATCCTAACCTTACATCTCATTTTTTCTTTCATTACTTTTGAGTCTGGTATTTGTCCTCAAGTGTACACTTTGCTCCCTTGTTCACCTGGTTTCTCTGCCATCTGAGTTAACTCTGCCTCCCTATTAAGTTTGAAAATCTTTGCCAATTGTTGCAATGAAAGCTTAGGGAGTGCCAGAGAATTCCTTGCTTATTCCCACCCAACACTAGGTAAACCTGATCATCCAATTCTTGTCACTAGCATTTCTAACTGGCTGGAGAAAAATGCACCGTCGTGCCAATTCTTTTATTCGTCGCATTTGACTTCCTACCCTCACCCCACAGCAGCTGAACCAAGACCATTCCATTACTCTTAAGCATCCAGACACATCATCATCACCTTGACACCTGACTTGACCTTTTTTTCCTGAGATGATCCTTTATTGCTCCTCTTCAGCATTTCTCTGACCCTGACCCACTTCCCCTCTTCTCTCTTAGCAAGCTCTCCTTCTTGGTTCTTGGGTCCTTCTTGGCCTTACTCACTTGGTCGCTTCCCTGCTATGGCTCCCCTGCTCATGTCTTCAGACCCTCTCTTTACCGGCTTCTAATAGACTGCTACTATGTTCCTGCTTCTATCAATCTGGAAACATCACCAACAGCAACAACAAAACTTCCTTCACACCTGGTAAACTCACCACACCTTCTATTTTCTTTCCTTTTACCACCAAAATCAAAAGAGCAGTCCAGTGCTGACTTTAATACCCCCAGTACTACACTACAATCATTTTTGAAATATAAACTTTCCCCAATTGTTGACTATCATTGTCTTAGCCTTGTGATTATCTCAGTCTTCATCCTCCCTGATGTCAGCAGTATCAGTATTGTTAACCAATCCCTTACTTTCTGAAATTTCTCCTATGTAATATAGCAAAAAAAGCAGGTCAGTTAGCCAATAATCAAGTTGCCTAAAGTAAATATATAATGAAACAGACCAGCACCACATGAGAAATACAATGAAAATCAGCCAACTAGAACTTGACAGAAGTCCTCAACAGATGTTAAAACTAATCCATCCACTATAAAATATGGTCAACTTTTTGACACAATAAAATCCTGTCAATGATGTTGTAGAAAGCTTGACTGGGAGTTGGCATCAAAAAATAATAAAGTCAAAGCACAAATAAAACAAGTTTTAATCAATTGATAATTTTAGTAAATTGGCAGATTAAAACTCAGAGCTGTAAGTATTAGTTTGCTTCCTATCTGAATGTCCTTTCTAAATTCCTTTTGCTGACTTAGTGTCCTCTACTCACCTGTTAAATTTGAGATTTCCTCTCTTCTATCCTCATTCTACATTCTTTTATTTCAGTCTTCTCTTACCCCCAGCTCTTCAACTGTAACATCTCTGTGGATGACTTCTATATCTATACTATTAGCTTGTAAACAAAAACAAAAAATCAAATAACTATCAGATAATTCTCAATGTCACCATACCTTAACATCCTTGAATCTTCTCTCTCTTCTCCCCTTCTTCACATCCTGTCTCTCCAGGTGAAATTATCTTCCTGCTAGTCACCTAAGCTCAATATCCCAGTCATTTTCCAATCCGCTCCCTCTTCAATCGCTAAATGCAAATAATCAGTGATTTCTATCCTTACCACCTCCATAATATTTCTGCATCCTTTTACGCTTTCTTCATTCCCACTGTTACTGCCTTTGCTCTGAACACTGTCAGCCACTACTTTCTCCTCTCAGGGAAGGTCACCATTTCCAGCTCAGAATAAATCCTGATTAGCTAAATCAATCACGGTAGCACTGACATTTCCACACAACTCATTTGTTCAGCCGCCACACAGAAAGGACCACTCTTCTTCCAGTGTGCACTCCAGGCCTGTAGCCAGAGTGCTTAATCTTGCCACCATCAGAACAAAGTCAATTAATTAGCAAAGTGGGAAGGGTAAAACAGTGGAACCATAAGGATGTGAGTCACTGAATTAATCCATCCTGGAGTTGCCCTACTTCGGGACTTCTTTTGTGACATAAATTTCCCTTATTGTCTTAGTAATCCGAAGCTGGGTTTCTCTTAGCTGCGGCCAAAAGGCACCCTAACTGACACAGCCCTGTGAACGAGTGCCGCCTTCTCCCGCAAGCTGTCTCTCTCCGTTACAGGTCTCCTGCTAGACGGCGCTTCACGATGCTCTCAGAAGTACCTTCCTGGGGTTCGGGAGCAAATCTTGGGCCCAAAAGTCTGTGAGACTGGGAAGTCTCTGGTGCCATGCGCAGCTGGACATACACCACGACCACAGGCCCTTCGGGGGCAGCAGACGCTTCCTTACCACACTGCAGTAACTCGGGAAAGTCGGCGAGGGCTTCAGCACAACAGGCAGCTGGGACCCACTGCTTTGTCCCCGTCACTAGACCATTCGCCCACTACAAGGGCCGTATATAAAGCCCTCAAACCCCCAAGGGAGCAGGTGCCCCCCCCCGTCTCTGGCCACCAAACCAAGGAGCCCACGGTTCCAGGGGACCTCTGGAAGGCACACCTTGCAAGGTGTCCACCTGAGGCACCCTTCCAGCCCAGGCGCCCTCCCTCTCGGAGCTCCTACCCGTGGGCCACCCGCGGCAGGTCACAGAGCACGGCCTCCGAGAGCCGCCGTCCACCACAGGACCTAGCCAGGCTGAGCTCCACGTCATCTGAACGGCTGCCTCTCTCCAGAGTCCCTGGGAGGCCCCAGCCTCAGCCTCAACAGCTCAGGCCGCACGGGACCGGCGGGAACGAGGCACTTCCGGCCACGCCAGGCCCACACCGGAAACGCCCCGGCCCACTTCCGGCGGGCGCCCGCGGGAAGCTTCCTACAGCTGAGGAGAGCCGGGATCAGGAGCCCAGGCCCACAGCTTGAGGGGGAAAAAAAAAGCAGAACAACAACCCAGAAAACCGCTTTAAATGCGGAACCCCCGCAGTCCCCGCACCGGGTCAGCTTTGCGCCATCTTTCCCGTTCTCTCTCATCCACGGAGAACCGACCTTGGGGACCTGCTGTGACAGCGAGTCCCCGCACCAGGGCTGCCGCGGGCATCCCTTTTAGTTCAAGACTGCAGCTTTTTTCTTCTCCCGATCGTTAAAACTGTTAAGGTAATTTTTTTAAAGGGGAAAAAAAAAATCTTTGTCTCCCCGTCCCTCCCCTGCCTGCAAGAATCCACACGTATTATTGACTTTTTATAGATTCTCTTTTGTGAATGCTACAACCCAATGAAACAGGATAGCAGCAAAGTCCACTTTAACCAAAAGGACAATGGTCTGTTTCAGATTTTTATTTATTTTTTTTTAAGTATTTGATCTGTTTCAAAACCACATGAAACACGCCCGAGGTATCGAAGCACCTCCTTGATCCGGCCCCAAACAACCTTCATCTCCTGCTACTTCTCCCATCTCCTGCAGTCCTCACGCTGCCACGAAAACTACCCTTGTAACTCAGGTCTTTCCTACTGAATACATTTGCCTTTTTGGTCACCAAACTCTTTTTCTACTTTTCTTCTTATGTACATAATATAAAATCACCGTCTCCAGTTGATTTCCACCCATTTCTGCCTCAATGTTTCAACTGCCGGAAAGGCAACAACATATGTACTGGGTCTCCGCTGGATAATGACACAGTAACACTTCTGCTCCTTCCCTTAAGGTATTCAGAGCGGGGTCAAAGACCACAAACAGCTAAAAATCGGTGGAGTGAGAAGTACAGCAACCGTGTACAAAGTGTACAGGGAAAGGAAGAAAAACACCAGACTAGGTTAGATATTAAGGTCAGAGAAGGCTCTCATAAATGGACACCCAAATTTAGCCTTGTAATCCACTAACAGACAAGACAGAAGAGCCATTCCAGATAGAAGGAACAGCATACACCCCCCTTCCCCCAAGGAGGCTTGGAGGATCAACCCTTTAGGAAATTCAGAAATTATGGATGATAAAGGGCATGTGAAAGGGGTGGAAGATAAGGCTCTCAAAATAAGCAGAGGGCAGTTTAAGGATATTGCATGCCTTGCTAAGGACTGTAGACTTTGTAGCCAACTGGAAACACACTGAGGTTTTAACCTCAGGAATGATATAAGCAGATGTGCACATCAGAATGATCCTTACTCCTGTGGACAGAATTGATTGAAGCCAGGGATGACCATTAGTCAGCTACAGCAGCAATGCAGTTGAGAAGAAACAGAAGAATAAAAGAGTGATTAATTAAGAGGTAGACTGACAACACTGGATGACTGGTAAAATGTATGGGATTAGGGAGAAAGGCAGTGAGAATTCCAGAGCCATCCTTGACTCCTCTTTCTCTCATACTTCACATCCAAACCATTAGGCAATCCTGTTATTGCAAACTTCAGAAAACATCCAAAATATGACCAGATTTCACATTCCCAACGGCCAACATTCTCATTCAAGCCATCATCATCTTTCATCTGGATACTGCAATAGCCTCCCAACTGAGTAACCTGCATCTCTCTACAGTCTGGTCTCACTATAGCACCCTGTCAAAACAAGTTACATCCTGTCACTCCTCTGCTCCAAATCCTCCAGCACATCCCCATCTCACACAGTAAAAGCCAAAGTCTCTTTAATGGTTTAATGGCCTTCCCTTTATGGCCTCCCTCTCTGACCTTGAACAAACCAGGCATGCTTCTAGGTTGGGGCCTTTGCCCTGGCCCCTGTCTCTGCCTAGAATAGGCGTCCTCAAACTACAACCCACGGGCCACATGTAGGCGTTCTTGCCCATTTGCTTTTTACTTTAAAATAAGATATGTGCAGTGTGCATAGGAATTTGTTCATAGTTTTTTTTTTAAACTATAGTCTGGCCCTCCAACAGTCTGAGGGACAGTGAACTGGCTCCCTGTTTAAAAAGTTTGAGGACCCCTGGCCTAGAATAATGTTCTTTTCTCAGTATCTATGTGACAAATCCTTCACCTCCTTCAAATCACTGTTAAAATAATCCCCTTCTCGAATGAGGGCTACACAGTATTTAATATTGCTGTCTCCTATTCCCCAGTGACCCAACTCCTGATCCTCCTCACTTCCTCACGCTATTCTACTTGAGCATTTTTCCCATGGCACTTTATAACTTTCAAAGATGCTATATAATTTATTTTTATTTACTCTCTTGGTCTGCTTCTCCTTCTAGAATGTATGAATCACAACGGTAGGAATCTTTTGTTCACTGATGTATCTCAACCACCTAGAATAGTTCCTGGCTCATAGTAGGTGCTCAGTAGATATTTAAATCAATGAGTGTTTCAATAAATAAGCCTAGTCCTGGGTTCAGGAGAGAGGCATGGGAAGAAGCGGGTCAGATATGTCTTTTGGAAATGATACCTGAGTGCATCTTAAGAAGAAATTTAGTGTTTTAGGAATTTCCAGACAGAGATCACAGCATAGGAAGACAGGAATGCAAGAAGGGCATGGAGCATGCATGGAACTACAGATAGTCTGGTGTTGCTGGAACTTAAAACAAAAGGCAATCAGGCAGAAGTGAGACTGATTCTTGTCTATTAGCAAAGGGGCCAGATTACTGAATGCCTTGTATTCCAGATCACTTAAGTTTATTGTGAGTTTTTGAAACATCTATTTGACTTTAGTGAAGACAGTTAATTTTAGGGAAAAAATAATGTTCATATTGGGAAGTGGGGATGCATTTGAGAAATATTTGAGAAACATAACCAGCAGGATTTGTTTAGTTGACTGATTGTGACAGTGAGTGGTGAATGAGAATAAAAATGAGTCCCAATATTTAAGCTTGGTTAGCTAGCTATGTATGTGGCATAACTAACTACCTAATAAGAAAGAAGATGATAAGTTCAATTTTGGACCCATTAAATGATTTTTAATTTTTAGCACACTAAGTTAGAAAAATAGATGATACAAATAAATATTAATTTCTTTTTTAGATCCATTACAGTGACACCCTGTAGAGAAATAAAAGGTAAGAAAATCTGTTATCTGTTTCAATTCTAACCTGCCATATCTCTTAGCACTCATAAAAACAAAAACATTCAGTTGTGAATTTAAATCTTCCCTATTGAGAAGAACAATTTGGGCCATCTAATACTAATTGGAACCACAGCATGCTTTCATAGAAGGATAGTGCCCTGGACTCAATGTTTGTGCGCCCCAAAAATTCATATGTTGAAGCCCTAATCCCCAGTGTGAGAGAGGGGGCAGGGGGTGGAAGGCAGAAGTGGAGAGAGAGAAATTGGTGTGCTTATCAGAGATGAGAGAGAAAGGATCTCTCTCTCAACCATGTGAGCAAGAAGGTAGATCTGGAGACCAGGTAAAGGACCCTCACCAGGATTCTGCATCCGCTAACACCTTGATCTTAGACTGCTCAGCCTCCAGAACTGTAAGAAATAAATGTTTGTTGTTTAAGTCACTCAGTCTATGGAATTTGTTCTAGCAGCCCAAACTCACTAAGACAGATAGGAATAAGCCATGGGGCAGCTTTGAGGATTTTAAGGTTTGAGAATATGCTTTGCTATACTGATGAACAAAAGTGCTAAATCTTACTTGGGCTGGGTATTAATTTATTCGGTTTGGCACAAAGTATTTGAGTAGCCCTAAACTGATCTCATATTTAAGGCAGAAAAAAAGTAATCAGTCAGTTGTTCTGAGAGGAACATTATACTAGAAGTCTAAAAACACACTTTCTAGTCCTATTTCATTTACTTGCCACACAAGCTTGCCACTAAACGTGACTGCAGTGATCTTCCTTCTCTCTCTATCCAACTATACATTTATTTATACATTCAGTAATTATTTTAGAGCACACACAATATGCTAGATACTATTAATAGAAATCTAAGGATGGCAGAAACATGGTCCCTTACCTTTTACTGAAGCAAGTAAACAGTAAGAACAGATGAAGATAAATAACAGCAGCTATGCCTGACCCATGGGGCTTGTGTGGACTTATATAAACTAACTGTGAAAATGTTTTCCAAAATAAAAAGCTCTACTTTGAAGTAAAGTGCTAATATTTTAATGCAGGTGTTCACCGTAACAGCAAATTTCTCCATGTGGGCTGTTTGAGTAGTCATTGCAGGACTTAATAAGGTATCTAGAAATACAGTGCCATACAATGAAAAGTCAAGGAATTACAACTAAAGTGGTAATTTAGTTGGTTAATGCATAACCAATGGAAAAATAAAAACTGTATGGCTAGAGCTTCTTATGTATGAAGAAGCATATGTTTTATTTTTTTTCTGGATTCTTGTGATTTTATTTTTTATTTCAGCATATTATGGGGGTACAGATTTTAAGGTTTCAATAAATGCCTATTTTCCCCCCTCCCCCCACAAGTCTGAGTCTCCAGCATGACCATCCCCCAGATGGTGCACATCTCACTCATTATGTATGTATATACCCGGCCCCCTCCCCCCTGCCCAATACCCTATTCCTGTAGTACCTATGTGACCACTTAGGTGCTGTTCAGTTAATACCAATTTGCTGGTGAGTATATGTGGTGCTTGTTTTTCCATTCTTGGGAAACTTCACTTAATAGTATGGGTTCCAGCTCTAACCAGGAAAATATAAGGTGTGCTATGTCACCATTGTTTCTTAGAGCTGAATAGTACTCCATGGTATACATATACCACATTTTATTAATCCATTCTTGGATTGATGGACACTTGGGCTGTTTCCACAGCCTTGCAATTATGAATTGTGAGAAGCATATGTTTTAAATCATTATAAACATGGCTTTCATGTCAATTTAATAACAAGTTAATTAAAGGACTGTATTTCAAATTCAGTACATCTTTCTAAGGTACAATTGTCTTATCAGTCGATCTAATTATCAAATCTAAATTAAATAAATCTACCTATGTTTAAAAGCACAATTTTAAAAACCAGTGAAATTTAAATGGAAGATTTGCTGAGAAAAAAAGTACTGAATATAAAAATTGGACTCAACTCAAAGGACAAAAGTCACTATATACCAAAGGAAACAACATGGATTCATGATTCATGAGTCATAGGAACAGACCAAAAAAAAAAAAAGCTAAATTTTACTCTTTAGGGATTTTTATGAGCTTGTCTTGTAATCATGACAAGTATAGATGATCCTCTATTTACAAACTTTTATCTCTTGAACTTCCTTTATTTAACTGTCCTTTTCAAATTGATATACATTCAAAAATTAAAACAATATAAATATAGATTAGATACACTGAGAAGTCACACTACCACCAGATTTCCGTCACCCAAACACAATAAACTATGTGTTCCTGTGTGTCTTACCAGTATTTCATGTGGCAAATAACACAACAAACTTCCATAAAGACAAACAAAACACACCCAACGTGTCTACCACCAAGTATCAGCCTCTGTAGCTGCTTGATTCATGTAAAACTTTGAGCCAACTGCTCGTAAAAGAATTACTCAACATTTGTTGAAGTGCCTGCTATGTGCCAAGCACTATGCTAATCACTTTTCATTTATTAACTCACTTAATCTTCAAAATAATCCTATGATAAATTATTATCCCCATTTTATAGAGGAGGAAAAGAGATGAAGAAATCAGGTAATCTTCCAAGACTGACATAGCAAATAAGTACCTGAGCTAAGTTTCAAAACAAATTAATGTGCCTTCAAATCCCATATTCTTTAACCCCTGTTCTCTGCCTCCTTTCAATCTTACTGCTGCTTGACAGTTCATAAGTGAAAGAGTCAGATAGTATGGTAAGCAAAAAAAAAAATGTCCTCCCAAAAGACACCCACATCAAATACCTGGAACCTGTGAATATTACCTTAAATGGCAAAACATGAGATCAAAGTTAAAGATCTTGAGAGGGGGAGCTTACCCTGTGTTATCCAAGTGAGCCCCTAAATGTAATCACTGTCAAGATATTCCACACAGCATTCCTTCTGACCAAGAAACTTACTTCACAGCAAATGTGGTGTAGCAATTCTGTGGTCAAACCAGGCCCCCATGATCCTGAAACAGCTGCCTTACGAGAACAGAAAAATGGCGTTTGGAGATTCAGCAGCAGCTAGATAGGACATTCTGCAGGGCTGGACCAATGTCCCGTGGGACATTATATATGCCCTAAACCAGCATCCCAAATATGGTGCTGTTTCTCCCACAGCCAGGATTCATGAGTCCAGGAATCAAAGGGGGGTAAGGGAATGGCACCACTCCCTATTATGACTAGTGATCTACTACCAAAATGTCCACTTACTGTCCCCAATAACTTATGCTCTGCTGGCCCTGGTGAAGAGGTCTCAGTTTCAAAGGGAGGAATGTTTTCTCCAGAAGACATGATCACTCCACTGAACTGAAAGTTAAGACTGCCGCCCGGCCACTCTGGACATCTCATGCCTCTGAGTCAACTGGCAAAGGAGGGAATTACTGTATGGACTGGGGTGATCTATCCTGACTGCTACCACTGAGGAGTCCGGCTCCAGGCCCAAATCCTCTCTGTGACCTTGCAGGTCTGAATATAGGCCTGGAAGCTCTCATGGGGAAAAGCTGCAGCCCAGCCCACAACAGACTTCGCGCACAGTGTGCTGCAGTTTTCAGGAAGGAGCTGCAGTGGGACTCAGGCTCCCCAGACCCCTGGGCCACCCATGCCCATACATGTACCTTCACTCCTGGTCCGGATGCCTCCATTTGACTGAGGCACTTTTCTCCACCTTGACTCAGTACTTTCCACACCCAGCCTTTGTGGGCCCCAGCCAGCAAGCCCATAAGGAGGCAGGCAGGAGCCTTTTGTTTGGGACTCCTCAGCAGTGACATGAGTGCTGCATCTGAGCTGCACCACCTGACCCTCACCCTGAGAGTGGAGAACTAGCATGCAAGCAGAATTTAAGGTGGCAGCATCTTTGGAATCAGTACCTTGCATCTTATATTGCCCATTCAAGCTCTACAGGATGGAAGTACACCACTAAATCAGTATCACGGAGGGAGATCAATTCCGGAACAGGGGAACGGGCAGAGATTTTTGGCCTTTTTTTTAAATCACCTATCACAGGGTGTAGAACAAAGAAGACACGCAGCAAATATTCCTAGAACAGATCAATGCGTACAAGGTGGCAGGGGAAAGAAAAATGGAAATAAAGAAGGGGAGAGTCAAACTCTTTAAAAGTATCTGTGGAGAGACATCAATTAGAATAACTCAAGGAGAAAGTTACATCCTGAAACCCAGCTCTCAAATTTAAATTTAATATTTATGTTTCTCATCCTTCGCAGCCATTTAAGGAAAACAAATGGGTCATTCCCTTTGGCTTTCAAGTCCTAGATGAGGGTAAGTCATTTTTCACTATAAAATTTTAGCATTTATTCCTTGACTAAACAAAGGGCTTTCTCATTTAATTCTTTGTTTCATTTGTGAACACTGGCAGGACTGACAGAAAATTTAATCAATTCACATTTCATCAAGTAAAAATTGGAAGAAATCCAGCAATTAGCAGATTTCAGACCCACTCAGTATTCTGGAGGTTTCTCTAAATGTTAAATATGAATCATTTTATTTTCCTGTTTACCTGATTCATATGATAGAAGAACTAAGCTATCAGGGTTTGGGGAAAGTACTGGTAGGAAAAAAAATACTAGAAATAATTTTCACGTGTCTTCCAAGAAAGAAGAACAATTATTTTGGGGCCTTTTAAAATTCAACCTGCAAACTACAGGGGTCAAATGAGGTTAAACACGTCACGAAGGTCTCTGCACACAGAAAACACCCAGAAAACATTAGTAACAGACAATTGTCAGGGCCACGGAGGACTCAAAGATCCAACAACCAAAACCAAGATGCATTACAATGCAATGCTTGCTTTATATTTTGTTTTTGTTGCCACTCCTATAAAACTAGATGACTGTATTTTAACTAGTATTAGTCTTTATGTTTTTCTTATCAACCAGAAATATATCTCCTATTCTTAAGGTAATTTATATAGTTAGTAAATACTGCTCTACAATATGCATAGGTATTTAACTGTATGTCTATACCTTTCAAACTAAGTTATTCTTATAATTAACACTAGAGGAAAATAGCCTCCCTCCCCCTGTAATATTAGAGAAAGATTATCATGGGGGGATATTAAATTATTGTGGTATTAGAGAAATTAAGTTTTATGATTTTATTGGGTCCCCTACCATCAAGTCAGAACTTTGAGATACATCACCAACATAAGTAAGCTGAGTTGCACGGAAGCTGTACTTAAGCTACATTTTCTCATGTGGTAAAGGGGCTCTACATACACATACACACATATACACACATACATATGTGATCCTTTCATAAATAACTACCGTACATGAAGCTCTGTGACTTCTCTAGTAAAGCCAGTTTTTCTCAATTTCTGTCTTTAAGAAAAATGCAGTGTTGTATGTTCATGTTTCCAGTCACTATTCCATGAAAGATAGATGAAATGTGGAAAATTGAAAATATCCCTTAATATTCACTTCAGCAATTCGACTGTATAGTAATAATACAAACTCATTTAGTTAATAAACACAAATCTCACACATGATATCTTCCCAGGGTCTGGCATTGAAGATATAGGCAGAATATGCCAAATGAAAAATAGAGTCTGATGCTTGCAAAATAGTCTCTCGTTTCTGGGTTCTCAAGTTTATCTCTACATCCGTGATGCTCTTCGTTTACCACCAGCCTTCGTGAAGCCCTTCCATAACTGAGCAAAAATTGATTTGGAGGATAAAGTTGTAAATGATGGAGCAGGCAGTGCAGTGGGGTTCAGTGCAGTACAAGATGTGTACAGCTCTTTGAAATTAGTTTTTCATAGAACTAAGTTTATCCTATTTAAAAGACTGTCCTTTATGCTAAGATGATGTCTTACTACATTCTGAGTATCCAACCATCTTACTGAAATGAAACGATAATTTTATTTATAATGTTCTTAGCAATATAAAAGGGGAAAAACCTATGTCATTCTCCCATTTTATCAAAAATAATGTTATCAGTTCATGAAATTTGCAAGTCTGTGAACTACGAGTGTAAGTAGATAAAAAATGGGTTCTAGGATCACACAGATGTGAGCTTGGATCTCAGCTCTACCACTTAATAACATGACCTCTCCATGAGCAAGTTCCCCACTTACACTGCATGGTTTTCTGGAACGCTAAATGACATAATGTATGCAAAGACTCTCGCATAGCCCTAATACACAGGAAGTACTCAACAAATATTTAAAACAAACATTCATAAAAATGTAGCTCTTTAAATATCTTTATTTTTTAAATATTCTATTATCCAGTGAAATCATTAAGAAGCAGGTCCCTCTCAAAATCACCCTTGACGACAAAACTAGCACATTTAACACAGATTTATATGCTGCCAACATATATAAACTTACTTGTACATTTCTCTGTACATTGATGAAGTCCAAAAAATAAAAATGTCATCAATTGCAAATATACAGAGCTATGTCATTATATTATAGGCCTTTATATAACTTCTAATTCTGTTTACTGGACAAGGTGCAGGAAAAAGGTTAATTGGTAAAATGATTTGAAATGACACTGGATGTCAGTTCAGGAAGGTCTCTATTTGGCTCTCTTTCCCTACAGCACTTAGCACACATGACCTCCACATGCTCGTGGAATGCATAATATTAAATTTTCATACTTTTAGGTATTCTCTTAAGGGTTTTATTACCTCACATTAAAAATTTATTGGTTAAAACTTTAAAATGTTTCATTTATTATTTCATTTCATCTTTAGGCAAAATCAGGACAATCAAAAAATAAAGAAAATGAACACAGGAACTTTTTTTAACTTTGAAAATCAATTGAGTACTTCTCAAGCTGATTTGTAAGTATGTGAGTATTCATTTTATTCACATGTTTTAAATTAATTACATTATCCCCAGACACATGGTAATGCCTGGCACAGCAAATGTTTTTGGGCGGATGGAAGGAAATGAGGGAGGGGGAAAAGAGCAAAGGAGGAAGGAAAGCTGAATGTATGTATGGGAAAATATTACAAACTTAAAAAAAGTCACAGACTGGAGTTTTCTATGTACCCATGCTAAATAACTTATCTGCAATGTGGTTTGAATTGCAGCTTAAATAACAAACTAGAAAGCAAGGGGATAGGTTTTAAACAAGTCCAACCAAACAGCTACTTAGAAAATTTTCACTTACATTTTAAATTCTGCCTTAAAATATAAATTTAATTTAAATAAAATGTAAAGAATGTTAAGTACAAGAAAAAATACTTCAAAAGGTAAATTGTTAAGTTTAAATATACATACTATATTATTCCGGTTTTTATGACAAACTAAGATAAAAAATATAAAAGACAGTAGATTCTTCTGAAAGCTACTGGAAGAATTTGGATTTTCAAGTTGCATACATTTTAGTTTGAAGTAAGTTATTGGACTATTGGTGAATATGTTTCAAAGATGTTTATAAAGACTAGAAGAGGTTCAGAAATAGAATATATAGGCAGGTAATACGGATTTACAGGAAAGTGGTCATGTTATTAGGTATTATAACATATCGGGTATTAAACTCATTTAATATTTTTCACAAAAACTCTACAAAATAAGAAATGTCCCCTCCATTTTGCAGATGAGCCAACTAAAGCAGAGAGAGGTAAACACCTGGTCACACAGTGAGTCTGTGGCAGAGCTGGATTAAAACCCAGGTGTCTCCTTCCAGAATCACACTCGTAGCCACAAGAGTAGAAATGCTTACTGAATCGAGCTGAACTACAATGTAAGTTTATAGCAAACATAAAGAGTACATGCTTTTAATTTTTACCCGGCAAACACTGTAAGTGCTGCTGTGTGCCAGCTGCAAAAAGCATAGCCTCCTTTTTTCTTCATGTAATGCATAAATTTACAGTGTTTGGGTAGATACTAAAAGAAAGCTTAAATATTGTCTTTAAAAATAGTCTAGACATTTAACTTAATTACAATCACCATGATGACCATCAGATATTTCTATAGTTATTTCTCATCAATTAACAAAATATTTAAATCAAAATAAATGAGAAAATGAGACAGGGGCCTTTGTCTAGATATGCTGTCACCTGGACTATAAAAGTAGGAAAGGAAGAGAAGAGGTATTTTTATGTGGAAGAAAAGGAGGAGCAGAGGGTGTCACAAAAGAGAGGGAATTGAAAGGTTGTGCATGTTCATTTTAACTTAGATATAGCATGGTAAGAAAAGGCACTCCAGTCTCAGCCTTCCTGCCTATAAGTTCTCATGGCCAGCCCAGAGGGAGCTTTTCTTTCACAGCCCAAAAAGTAACTGAATGGATTTCAAGCATTTCCTTAGTAAATATTTTAAGTGTGACTTTGTTATTCTTTGCAGGCAGAACCTAAAATGAGGTTTAAGTTTTGCAGTTGGTATAACACTGGAGGAACTGTATAGTTGGTGTCAACACAGAAATTGTTTATTGTCCTGTTTGCTCTGCTCCACTACCCTAAACCTGTCGGTCCCAGCTGCAGACGCCCATTCCGAGCCCAGGTTTTCCACTAACAAGAGCCACAGCTGTACGGACCGGGACGCCAGGAATTGGAACCCCCACCAGCGTTACTCATCTGGGCCTGCCCTGCTCTGCAATCCAGGCCAAAAGGCAATGCAAGTTCACCTCATACGTGGGACACACAAAATGAAGCGCTTAAACAACTATTCACAGTAAAGAAATAAACACATTAAAGTAGCTGCTGAATATATTTTAACCCAACATAAGTAAAAAATATCATCTACCTGACATTGCCTTCAATGGATTTTATTCTATTTACCAGAAGAAAGAAACTTAAAAATCCACAAAGCTGACCTATTCATTCAACAAGGCTTTTTTTATTTAAAAAAAAAAGCTATATTATATGTTCATCACAAAAAGATCAAATATACATTTTAAAATACAAAGACAAAAATGCTATACTAGCATACCAAAAACCATTCCCTGCAGCAATAATTAGTTTTAATTCAAATCCTTACATATATCCATGATAAACTTAAAACTGTCCTAATTGAGAAAGTTCATGACATGAGTCAATATTCAAATATGTTCAAAAGCTACACAAATGTGGAGTACTATTATAAACATTTTTAAAAGCCATCAATAAACAATTCATATATTTACCATAACATCAGCAAAATTTAAGACTAATATTGATATTACATTAGTCCATTTTAATTTTTTAAAATCCTTATTAGTAAATATTTATGTTTTAACAAAGACATTTTATTATAACTTGTTAAGGAATTTAAAAATGATAAATGTTATCCTAAACTATCCATTTTGTAAGGCCACTAATACTATGAATTTTATAGATCATTGTGAGTAAAGATGCAAACGCCAGTCAAAATTCCAAAGACCATGAAAACTTTCCTCAGATTTCTTGTTCTATCATACCCCATGAAACAAATGATTCTAAGTGAGCTAAATAAACAATATTAATACCTGTACCATATGACAAGGTTCTTATGAATCATACTAACATGTAATGAACAGAACCAGAGTTCCTTAGAGAAATGGCTGATTCCAGGTCTGAAAAGTATAAAGTAAATACGAAAAATTTCGGGCTGTAAGAGCAAGTAAGTTTCTGAGGCTGATGGAGACACATGAAACAGAGTTAGGAAATGAAAGAACTTACACTGGCCAAATCTGGGACAGTCTGAGGATCAGAAATAAGAAATACAGTAATGGGTTGTAACACATTAGATATGAAAGGAAAGAATCAATATAGTAATGTATTGGAATATTGAGTATAAAAGGAATCCATGAGTCCATAATGATACCCAAAGCAAAGCAAAACAAAACAGGGAGGAGAATGAAGAGAGTCGGAAAAGCTCCTCTTTCCAGAAGAATTCAAGCTTTAAATATATAAGGAATAGTAGAAGTTTTTCAAAAATAATCATTTGTATGCCCCAGAGTAAATAGTTCATGCAAATATATCAATGAATGCAAAAAAATCTGATGTTCACAGAGTCTCAACGTATCATTGCACAGATTACTCATTGCGAAAGAGAAAATGTACCTTTATTGTGGAGACATCTGGCCAGACACCATCTGAATCTAGTGAGCAAATTTAGCATCACCAAAAATAAAGACGACATTGTATGATGTAATGGGAATTTGTGCTAAGCTATAGAACCATATACTCTCCTGCACAATTGGAAAGAAAAGTATATTTAACAGGATGGCAGGAGGTAAGTTTGCAATGGTAACCAAGATCCATTATTATCCCCAGCCTACAGGTGGACAAACTGAAATTCAGAGAAGTTAGATAACTCAAAGTCAATTACTCAGTACTCAGCAAAGCTGGGATTTGAACCAAGTCTGTCTGATTCTAAAACCCAGATTCTTTTGACTACAGAAGCCTGGATATCCCAACCACCACTGGATCTGAAGTCCAGGTCCAGTCACAGGAAGATCGCTCCCTTCAACGCTGGCCAACTCTGTTAGTGGCCAACCTGCAGCCCTTCCTTTTCCAGGCTGCCTGTCTCTTAAGAGATTCAGGACTGCTGCGCCTCCCCACTGAGGCTGTGCAACAGCACTTCACGGAATAGATGGCTAGACGTCTTGTCACCAGGTGTTTGCATGGCTTACCTGCTCTAAATCTCTGCTCAAATTTTACCTTCTTGGTGCAGCCTCCTCTGTCCATGTCAATTAAAATTCTGCCTGCATTTCCTATCACCCTTCACTGCTTTATTTTTTGTCGTAGCAATTTATCACCAATCTGACACACTATATACCTTACTGATTTGTTTATTTCTATCTTATCCCTGCTCTTCCTGAATGTAGGTATCTAGGAGGAGAGTGATTGCTTTCTAATGTGTTTACTGCTATATTCCCAATTCCTTAAAAAAAAAAAAAAAAAAGGGCCTGGCACATAGTAGGCACCCAATATCTGTTGAATAAATAAATATATGACAAACTCACACATACAGAGCATGGATGAAGAAAATTATTATGTGGATTAAGTTTTTTAAGCCATTTTCTTCTAATATAGAGTACTAAAAGCCAGATCAGGTTTTAATGTTGAATGAGTCACAGCGTTCTCAATTCTTAAAAGAAAATGTATGTAGAAAAGTAAGCCACTGATTCTTTGGTTGTATTTTCACCTAAGCATCTCCCTATATAGAACTCATGTTTTAGTCCCCCAAAATGTTTTCTCCCTTTAGGTTATCTGGGTTTAACAGTATTAAATAACTTAGGTATGATATAAAATGTGACCAATTAATAGAAGGAAAAACTCCTTCAATTAAGTGCAATGTAGCACATAAAGACTTAGATACATTTTATAAGACAGAAACAAATCTACTTCAGAAACGGAAAAACTACAGTACACATTCCAGTTAATTCTTTTCCAGATCACTTAGTAACTCTGGACAAGACCTTAGCTATGTCAAACTAAAGCAGACAAGAGAAGAGCTGGATGATATTAGGTTTACTTGCAGTTTTGGTTGTATACTTCATAGGCCTTTAACTCCCATTTATTTATAATGAAATGTAAGTATAAGCTAATAGAAAAAATAAAGACTCTGCAGTTAGTATAACAGAAGAGAAAGAGCAACGGAAGTCAGCTGCGTGTGACCCACATGTGACAGTGAAGAAGACGACTCCTCATGAACCAAACACTTAATAGTAGCAAGAACTGTACTAGCACAGCTAATATTTTGGTCCCTGGTCTCCTGGCATATTAATGCCATGAGTCAGACCAACAAAGCACTCATGAGTCTAATTTTAAAAAAGACTTTCTTTCCACTTTTTTTTTGAGACAAAAATCCCAAACCTGTCAGTTTGCTGGTTATATCTTAAAATACCAACATTTCAGCAGGTATTTAACTGTATCCGAGAATGGCAGAATTTATTGTTGCAAAGTTTAAAAGTAAACTTTACTATTCATATTTAGTTTCTATTCTCCTTATTTCCAAATCTTAGAGAGAGATAGCACCAAAAGACTATCAATATCAAAGAGTTCTTAAAAATGTAACTTTTAAGAGTTATGTGCAATGCACTGGCAATTTACTGTCAGGATTGCTTTTGAAAAAGGAAAAATAATTGAAAATATTTTTAGCAAAACTGTGTTTAGAATTTTCCAAATTTAAGACACTGGTACAGAATTTGTTCCATATCATGAAAAGAGAGTTCTTCCCTGTATTTATAATCAGGGTACATATGGTATGGTCCCTACTGTGTGACCTTGGCAATACACTTACCTTAAGGTTCAGATCTGTGAAATGGTGATAATAATAGGACCAATCTTAGGCTTATCATGAAGACTAACAAAGATAATGCATGTAAAATTCTTATACTGTCTGGAACATGATAATTGTTCAAGAAATGTTTCGTTGGGTTCTCTATTTTCTACTAAGTTCATACAGTGGGTGGAATCACAAGTCAATTTTCAAAGAAAAAAAATTCCATTATTCCTACCAATTTTCAAAGAAATTAGAAAAATTTTAAACTACTAACCCTGTGCTGGAGATGAGAAGACCAGCTTTTGCTACCAGCTAGGAATGTGGCTATGGACTTTACCTCACATAAAACAAAGGGACTAGGTCAGGACCTTAAGGCTCCTGTTGCCTCATGTCATCCTCCATCTCCGTGAGAGATCTCCATTCTCTACAGAATGGCCCTCCCTTCTCTTTCCTACCTCTCTAATCCTTCAAAAGAGGCGAAGAACAGTCCTATCATGAGAACTTCCACACTGGCCTTAACTCCACTCCACACATCCTAATATATTCTTATATAGTTTCTCCAGTAATCTGACAATTGCCACACTACAGGACAACTGTGGAAGAATTGCAAAAGACAACACAATCATAATGAATTTTATGCCAACTCCTCCGCTACCATGATGGCCAGCATTTCTACCAAGTAATAAATGCTGTGCTGAAAACAAAAACATACTAAAACAAGTGTGCAAAACAGGTATCAAAAGCACTAAAGCAACTATTGCAAAACTCACACGTCAGCCCTCACACCCTCACCGGCAATCAGATCTTCACGCGCAGTCCTTGCTCGGTTCAACTCACTCCCTTGCAATACAGTGAATCTTTTCAATGTTCCACAATTACAGTGCCTCTATAGTTTTTTTTTTTTTTCCTTTTCTTCTTTAGAACTACCTCTCTCCAAGCTTCCTTCTGATAAATTTCATCGCAATCAGTTTTAATTTTTGTTTTCCAACATTTCCCTTCCCACCGCCAGTTGGAGTAATGAAAAGTCAGAGGAATCCCTAAAGCCACTGTTTCCATCACTTAACTCGTGTTAATTAGAAAAGTATGAGGCGTGCCTCAGTTACATTCTAGCACATAAAACAACTCCTCAGAGAACCTCAGGATCTTTAAACAGGCTGAGCAGCAAAACACCGGGCACACGGGAAGAGCTCAGTAAGTATTTGCTGCTACTGTCGTATCAGCAAGCCCCCTCCTCACCATGTAATGCCATATCACAGTTAACTGTCCCCTGCGGGCGTCACCGGCAGGCGCAGGAACACTTCTCTGGCCAATAGCCCCAAGCTCGTGAGCAGGCTGCCGGCCTCTTCAGCGGCCTCACTCCTCGCTGTGGCATCAGTTGCAAAGACTATCCTGGGAACGTGGCCTGGCACACACCCTCAGATGACTTTCTTTCCACCTGGAGTCAAAGGTGACACACTGACAGGTCTCCCACCGCCCAGCTCTTCCAGGCCAAGAATGGACCAACTGCCCTCCCAACAGATTCCAACTGCCGAAGGCTAAGTCAAAGCTCGCTCCCTCGGCGCTGCTGACCTCAGAGCCCGACCCTGGGATCTTCGCCTCACTGCAGCTCACGTGCCCTTCCCAGCCGAAGGGTGTCGTCTCTGTCAAGTCAATACTTCCCGTCCCAAAGGAGAATCTGACACGTTATGATCAATCATCTCCACTCCTCCCCTGGGGTTCCTTGGACCACGGAAGGCTCACTGGATTTTCAGCACTACGTGCCGAGGACGCACTGCCAAGACAGCCCGCAGCCTTTCCAAGATGCTGACCGCTCGGTAGAGAGAGTGGCAAGCCAGTGCCCAGCT